GAGAGAGAGAGAGAGAGAGAGAGAGAGAGAGAGAGAGAGATTAAAAGGGAATTACAAACCTGTTTATGGCCATGTCAATCTCTTCCAATGTGCTATCATTTTTACCAAAAGAGCAGCTCATTTGCCAAAAACTACACACACGTGTTCTATCTATAATAGAAAGAGAGAGGGAGAGAAGACAGCTGTCTCAAAGGTTTGGTATTTTCAGGTTCAACTTTGCATTGAGCTGAGAAAGTCACTTTACGCCTCTATTTCTAAGAGTGCAGTGTGCTCATGTGCTGTGAATGTTTTACAGGGAAATAAAAGAAAAATGGCAGCATCCCTGTCACACTGAAAAATTGCCGTGGTATACACTGTGTAAATATTTACAGAAGTTGGCAGCATCTTTGTGCATAAGTCAATTTATTTTGTAATGTTCCGTTGCAGTGAGTGTCCTTAAAATAACAATACTGGTGTACGAGGCCAGTGTGAGGACAAAAGCCTGTAACTGCAGCACTCAGAAGGTTCACAAGTTTGTAGTCAGCTTGGGTAACATAGTGAAACTCTATCTCCAAACAACGAACCAACCAACCAACCAAAAAAAAAAAAAAAAAAAAAAAAAAAAAAATTAATTTTGTTAAAAAGCCTGTAACTGCAGCAGTTGAAGCTGAGGCAGGAGGAATCCCAGTGAGTTGAGGCCAGCCTGCATTGCATAGCCAGATCTTATAAAGAAAAAAAAGGAAAAGTGGTAATTTTCAGATTTAATTATTAAAAGTCTGGAGAGTTAAGTTGGTTTATAAGCCAGAGGACAATCCAGAAGTTGTATAAAAGGGAGAAAATAGATTCAGAGTCACACATACGTTTTTATACTAAGTAGATGTTGAGACTATAAATGGTGTAATTTCTCTTACCAGTGGTAACATGTAAGTGGGACTAAAGCTAACTTTTATTTTTAAAGAACGTTGCTGAAGAAAATACTAGAGTACTATATTCCTTATATGGAATTGTTGAACACAGTGGTACAATGAGATCAGGGCATTATACTGCCTATGCCAAAGCAAGAAGTGCAAATAATCATCTCTCTAATCTTGTTCTTCATGGTGATATTCCACAAGGTAAGCTGTCTTGGAAAATTAAGGCATTTAGATTTGGCAAAACTAAAATAAAATGAGCCTGAATCTCTCAAGTTTATATTTAACTAACTTCACATTTCCTCTTGACAGATTTTGAAATGGAATCCACCAAAGGGCAGTGGTTCCACATCAGCGATACCCATGTGCAAGCTGTACCTGCAGCTAAAGTCCTGAGTTCACAAGCTTACCTCTTATTTTATGAGAGAATACTGTAAGGACAGTGTTTCTTCTGTAAGCCTTAATAGCTTTCTACAGTGGCTGTATTAACAATAAAAAAATTAAGACTATAGATCATGTTCACATGACAGAAGAAATCGTATTTAAAAACCGAAGGGAACAAATTCCTAGAAAATTCAGTGGGTTGTGTTTTTTTTTTATTCCTGCTTTGTTTCTGGAAATTTGAATTAAGTCCTCTGTGATTAGTATGTGGGTGGTGGGTCACGACAGATCAATAAACTGACTTACTCCCAAAACCTGTTTTATTACTTACAAAGTTACATGTACTTATCTAATTAGGTAATGGTTTGAGACTAATGAAACTTTATTATACTGCATTTCATTTTATAAAGGTATTTGGCATAAATTAATGGTATGTAGGTACCAACCAGTGTATAGTCAAGAGAAGTCTGTGGTCCTGTTATATACAGTGGGGATAAACTGTACCTGCTCTGTGCTACTCCAGCTCATCCAGAGCACACCTGACACGCTGAGCATCTCACACCTCAAACTGTAATCTGGTACCAAGCCCATCTTACGTCAGCAAACTTCTCCCTTCTTTGACAGGGAAACCCATCTTTGTCAAAGCTCTAATGAGATGCAACATCCCTACTACTCAGTGAATTTACTTGGAAGAACTAGCTAGCCATATTGCTTCCAAAATTCCTGTGAAACAGCAAAAGCTATTGTTTCAAACACTTATTTAGGGGCCTATATATAACCAATCAATATCATAAAAACTAGTGTAGGGCTGGCCAGATAGCTCATCAAAGTGCCTGCTTAGGCAGAGCACAGTGGCAGGGGTTTGATCCCTCCTTGGCGTGCTGTGCCAGCCCTGCCTCCAGGGCACATGGAAAGGATAATTAAGACCGCATGGTGGTGCATGCCTGCCAGCACTTGGGAGACTAAACAGAATCACTGAGTTCGATCTACAGTCACATCCTGTACCAAATACATTTTAAAAAAGGTGTAATGTAGCATTTTATATAGTTTTTCAGTGTGGGGGCTGAATCCAGAGCATTGCAAGGTGTTTCACCAGTGAACTGTAATCTCTAGTCCCATGTTTTTGCTTTTCAACCCTCCTGAGTATAAGGTCTTAATGAAAGTGGGTCTATTTTAAGCAAACTTACTTAAAGCAGACATGTCAGAAAATACATTTCAGTTGTATCATAAACATCTTTTTGTACTTTGTCACTAACTTTGTTTTCAGTAGATCATGTATTGCAAATGAAAGAAATCACTGTTCTGGGATTTCCAGAACTAGGAGAAAAGCACTGGAGATGTGGCCCAGGGTTTGACAAGATTTGCTGTGAAAGGCTATATAAACATTTTAGGCTGTCTGGGCCCATATGAGTCTTCACAACTCAACTCTACCATTTCCTATACGAACCATGTGGCAGTATGTAATACGGTGATGGCTGTATTTCAGTAACTTACAGAAATGGGGAGTCAGGCCACTAACTACTAAATCCCAGTGACTATGATTAACAACGTCAAAACAAACAGGTCCTTTAGGTCCAGTAACAACATCAGGCACTGAGGCTTTAACAGTAACAATGTTTATTACATCAGCTAAAGGAGCAAACACACACTCTTAATTTAAGGAGAGTAAGAAAACAGTAATCCCTAGAATACTACTACAAATGCTGGGTTCATCTATAGTAAAAATTAAGCCAGTCAATCATTTTGGTCATCATCCCAATCCTTCTTTCCACTTGGAGGCTTGGGCCCACCAGCTGGTTTGGCCATGATGATCTGCATAACAAAAACCAGATAGTATGCTTATAATAAACTCACCTTCAAAGGAAAATAAAAACACTTCTCAATCAGCCTTAAGAGTAAGCAATCCTCTTAAACAATTTCTTACATATTGCATATGAAACAGCACAAAGTTTGCCAGTTTCCTCTTTGGAGGTTATATGCTGAAGTTTTAGTGTGAGAAAGCTTCCCACTTTTGTGGATAAGCAGCAACAAAATCCATACAATTAGTGAATGACATTCAAGACATGCACTCGGATAAGCAAAACAGGAAAATATCTTCATGCATCACTGGCACCTGATCTGATATTTATGCATGAGCATCTTGCCAGCCATCTTTATCCCAGTTTCCTTGTGGTTTAGGAGCTTTGGGTCCACCTGCCAGTTTTGCCACTATAATCTAAAGTAGTTGATAAATACAGTTTTAACACACATTTTCAAGTGTCTTTGAGAACCATTCAAATAGCAAGAAGAGCCTGATCCAAATACTGTGCTCCCTGATAATATAAAATGTATACTACAGCCTCTCTATACAAAATCTGCTAACCCAACATTTTAACAAGTACAGTTATGTAACACTAAGATTTACAGCTCACAACATGATAGCTTTGGGCTGAAATGCATTTATTTCGGTGAAGCTACACTAATATAGTATTTGTTGCTTTCTCACTTTATGTGATTTAGAGATCTTATGTTATCAAAGTTTGTTTTAAGTAATCAAAAGATCTTAAATCTAAATCTGAGTGAGCAGAGGATTTGGTTCAGTGGTAAGAGTTTTTGTCTATATGTGTGTGGTAGCCCTGACTTCAACGTATGGCAGGCGTTATTAAAACTGACTGCTGGGCTTCCTTTGGTTTCTGGTTTACTTTAGTTTTTAGCAAGCTCTTAGGTGGTAAAGATGTTTATGACTGGGGACTGTATACTTTTACTACTCTAACCAATGATTTAAGCTTGATTTACAAGTTTTTCCCAGAAGGCATACTGCATAAAATCAGGTACAACTGGTTCTAAGGCTGTAAGTTCATTATACTAATACAAGCTGGCTAATATAGTCACATTCTCCAGATATGGTTACGCAGAGTGCATAAAACGCAGTAACAACAAACTCTTTAAGTTTAAGGTTGACAAACTCAAGACAGGTTTTACCATACTAACTCAAAAAACCCTACCAACAGAAAATGGTAAGAAATGTGATCTTCAAAACTTTTTAAACATTTTTTAGAACCCCAAGGTACACTTACTGAGAAAAAAACCACACTCACGTCCTCTCATCTCATCGTAGTTCTAAGGTTGGTAATCTATATCCACGTCAGGGTTTTATGATCGTTCTGTATTGTGTTATTTTTTCATTTTTCCTCTTAATATCACCTTTGTAACTTAACTACCAACATGACTGTATAAAAGGGTTCTACAACTGGTTTGAAAATATAGTCTACATCTTGTGGGATACTTTCTAAAATAAGGGAAGTGAAATTCTTAAACACAGTCATACCTATGTATGACTACAGAGCCATACATTTTCAAGATCGAACTTTTGCTTTTTGCTTACCTGATCAACTCTAAGTACAGTGACTGCAGCGTTAGTAGCCAACTTGATAGCCCAGTATTTTCCCAGATAAGTATCTAGAACACCAGCCTCCAGCATGTCCTTTACTGCAGGAACTTCAGCCTGGAAACAAAATCATTCCCACCTTTATCTGAATTTTTTTTTTTTTTTTTTTTTTTTTTTTTTTTGCAGAACTGGGGATGGAACTCAGGCCCTTGTGCTTGCCAGGCAAGGCTTTATTCTACTGAGCCATCTCCCCGGCCCCTGAAATTCTTGTATGTGAAAATATGTATACTCAACAAAAACCTGAACAGCTTCTTAAACTGTATTAGACAAAGAAAGCCTTAACAACTATTACCCCATACATATTATATAAAAAATTTCCCCTTATCAAATCAAGTAAAAGCTAATTTTAAGAAAGCCATCTGGGGGGACCACCCGCTCAGGGTCCCGCTCCTGTCCCTCTCTAGGATAGCTTTCTTTCTTCTAATAAATATATTCTGTTCATAAAAAAAAAAAAAAAAGCCATCTATTCACAAATCTGATCACTTTTCCTCAGATTTTCCTTTCACACATATTGCTTCTATTTTTAAGTTCTGTATTCACCAAATAAAGCAATTTATTATCACAGTGTTTTTCCACATACCTCAATATCTAATCCCACATTTTTATTTCCTTCTTGATGCACTGCATAAAGTTTAGAGATTATTTCATTGGCCTTAACTCCAGAGTTCTCCGCCAGTGCCCGTGGGATAGCTTCAAAAGCCTCAGCAAACTTCTTGATAGCATACTGTTCAAGTCCAGGACATGTCTGAAACAAAATGTGTTTATTTATTCACTTTATTCAATAGCAGAAAGAAAATCAATTTGTAAGTCTTAATGGGTTCAAATCTCAGCCATGTCCCTTAAAGCGTCAGGATTTAATCCTTTGCTGTATAAAAGAAGTGGGTTAAGAGAATTCTTTACATTCCTTCAGCTCCCAAACCCTGCAATTCAGAAATAGAGGTATACATATACACCTGCGTGTATGTAACAGTTTACATGGTGATCAAAATGTATAGTGAATGTCTAAGAAAAACCTATTAAAGCCATATTATAATGAACCCCCCTCAAAATCTTCCCTTTCACTTCCAACACACCTATCCCATCATGCTCAGCATTTTCTGAAGCAGTTCTATAAGACATGTTGTCCTCTCTACCTCAATGTAATGCCACTTGGTCGCTCTGGGTCCCCCAGGAGTGGAGTCTTACAGGACAGAAAATATTTATTGTACAAGAAAGCATGCTCATAGCAGACTCTGGATTCCCTCTTAAAGCTGCTTTTCCTCCTCTCATGTTCACACCTGCTGCTGGAACACTTATTTCACCACATTGGTTTGGACTATACATGGCTGTATCCCCCACAGAACTTGGAGATGGAAGTTGCTCAACAAACATTTGTAAATAAATGAACTGTTAAGTGGGTCACAAATAATGGGACTTTGTATGGAGGTCTTGGGGGAATAAAGATTTACTTAACAATTAAAAACTTATACCTCTCCGTATGATGTGATCTGTTTGGCCAATTCAATTTCTGTTGCGCCACCTCCAGGTACAAGACGTTTATCCTGTAAGCAGTACCAAAAAGAGGGAAAATAAGATCAACAGGCAGTTTTCTAGTCAGATTCCAGTACTCTACCAGACTAGAAATTTTTTTTCAGAGTAGAAGTTTTGAATCAGAGTATGTTACATCAAAATTTCTTTTTTTTTGGGGTGGAACTAAAAAAAAAATGATGGTGTTAGATGATGGTGACTGAACTCAGACCCTTGCACTTGCCAGGGAAGCACTTACTCTACTGAGCCATCTCCCCGGAAAAAAGTTTATTTCAAACTCGGAAAAAAATAAAGTAAAATTTCTTATTATACCATCTGGTATTTAATAACGAAGGACCAAAAATGGAGAACAGGACCAGAACCATCTTTTACCTGCATTTCCACACACAGAATTAAGAACAGTGCTGAAGATAGGACATAATAAAAGCAACTATTTGGATGAAAACAATTGAAAAAAATCACTTTTGGAGGTAAAAGTCTTAAATAAAAAACATGCTTTGCTTTCAAACCCATTCTGAAATTGCCATAATGTTCAGAAGTCAACTTTTTAAAACAAATTTACTGAAGATTACTGCTCATACTGACCCTTGTGAGAACTTTGAAAGTGTTAACACCATCATCTACTGCTCTTTCTATGTCATCCATTAGATTGTCAGTAGAACCTCGAAGTACAATAGTAGAAATGGCACCATCTTCTTTTTCTGTCAAAATATATTGGAGAATTAGATAAAAGAAAAACACCTCACCCTCATACAACACATTTTCCCACGACTACCTACCATGCTTAAAAACCACCACCTGTGTGTCTCCAACTTCTGAGAGGT